ACTTAATCTGATAGGCAATAGGAGAGCTTGTGAGCCCGACAGAGCCTCACTGGAGCTCTACTCTAGAAAGATGAATCTGGGGGCAAGTATAGGATGAACTGAGAAGCAAAGTGATTATAAGTTTTTAAAATCTCCGTAGGACTGAAGGGACAAACAGACTGTATTGGGGTGACATGACAGTCCAGTGATGGGAGAGAAAAGAATAGTCAGAAGGGAAATGAACAAGACCCACAATGTGACCTCCAGGGAAAGGAGAGGCAAGGTCCATGGAGGTAGAGATCATGAAGCTCAGTGCACTAGAGAAGGCACTGCCACTCCAGGAGATTAGGAAATCAGGAGGACGAAGCAGCGTGGGGAAATTTACCTTGTTGAGTTTGGAATTGCCTAATTGGCCCCAGGAGAGAAAATAAGATTAGAGATACAGTCTTTGGGGGACATCATCATAGGCATAATAAAAATATCGGAGGGCATTGAAGGACAGAGTAGAGGGAGGGAAGACGGGAAGCATAAAAGCAGAACCTGGAGAAAAAGCTGGCCTTGGGAGAGAAGTCAGAGAGGAAGACTGGTAAAGAAGAACATCCAGAGGGTGGTGCCTGAGGCACAAGGAGTAGGGCACTGGCCCCACATACTGGAGGTGGCAGGTTCAAACCGGTTCAAACCCAAAAAAAAAAAAAAAAAAAAGGACATCCAGGTGGTGGAAGCACATAGAGAAGGTTTTAAGAAGCATCTGGCACGTGCTAAGCACTTGCTGCATACATGGTCACTTCCAGCAGAGAATTCAAGGAGACTGAGAAAAAGCTACTCATTTCTGGAAACCAAATTCAAGAGTTAAAGAAGGAATGGTTGGTAAAAGCCCTTAGAAATTTGGCAGTAAAGGGAGTAAGTGAAGATGCTCACGTGAGATACCAGCAAGACCAAGGGAAGATTTTTTGTGGCTTAATTCTCTTGCCTACTGGAATTTCATTTTAGAATGGGTAGGCCATCCAGAGTTATTATATGACTCACAAAAGAATTAAAAAACATGTCTATGAAAGACTTACACAGGTATGCTCATGATAGCGTGATTCACAATAGCTGAAAAATGAAAACAACCTAAATGTCTGTCCAGGGATAAACTTAGCTACCTCCCTAAAGGCCCTTTCTCCAAATTCAGTTGCATTCTAAGGTACTGGTGGTTAGGGCTTCAATATACGAATTTGGGGGAAGATGCTATCAGTCTATAACAATCCCCATATTACAGATGAGAAAATTGAGGCTTAGGAAAATTAAGAAACTCGCCCAAGGTACAGACCACACAGGTCTGCCAAGAGCCCAGATATACCCAACACTGAAGCCCATGTTCATGGCCTTGATGTCGTATGAGTGGTGCCATCTTCTGTGTTTGGCCACTTGTGAAGGGCCTATTCCAGTCTCTTGTCCACTTTTCTTGTGAATTGTTGTCCTTCTTGTGTTGAATTGCTGTCTGTCAATTATATATATTGAAAACATCTGCTCCTGCTATTGCCTGTCTCTTAACAATGTCTTTTTGCTAAACAAAAGTTCTTAATTTTATTTTTATTTTTACTATTTCGTATTATCTATTTATTATTTTGAGACAGAGTCTCACCATGTCACCCTCGGTAGAATGCTATGGCGTCACAGATCACAGCAACCTCAAACTCTTGGGCTAAAGTGATTCTTTTGCTTCAGCTTCCCAAGTAGCTGGGACTCAAGTGCCTGCCACAGCACCCATCTATTTTTTGTTACAGTTGTCATTGTTGTTTTTAGCAGGCACAGGTGGGGTTCAAACCCACCAGCCTCAGTGTATGTGGCTGGCGCCGTAACCACTGTGCTTTGGGCTCCAAGCCCTTAATTTTAATATAATCTAATTTTTCAATTGTTCTCATTATTTTTACTTACTTTAAATTTCCCATATTTTTCATTAATATATCATAATTGAACATATTCTTGGCATACGTGTGATATTTTGATACATGTATACAATGTACAATGATCAAATCAGGATAATCAGGACACCTATCACTTCAAACATCATCCTTTCTTTGTATTGGATTACAATTTTGGTCTTTTTGTTCATTATTGCTTTAACTATTCAGGGTCTTTTGTGATGCCATGTGAATTTTAGGATTGTGTTTCTGTGAATAATCTCATCAGTATTATGATAGGGATTTCATAGTGTCTATAGTTTGCTTTGGGTGGCATAGACACTTTAACAATATTAATTCTTCCGATTCATAAGAGTGGAATATCTGGCCACTTTTTTGTGCACTCTTCAATTTCTTTCATTACAGTGTCTGGCTCTGTCACCCAAGCTGAAGTCCAGTCATGCAATCATAGCTCACTCACTGCAACTTGGAACTCCTGGGCTCAAGCAATCCTCCTGCTTCAGCCTCTCAAGTAGCTGGAACTACAGGCACTTTTAAATACATATTTTGTAGACTTGGGAACTCACTATATTATCCAGGCTCATCTTAAATTCCTAACCTAGAGCCATTTTCCCACCATGGCCTCCCAAATTGCTGGTATTACAGGTGTTAGCCACTGCACTTGGCCACTTTTGTTGGTGTTTGAGATGTTTTCTTATAGACATCTTTCACTTTTCTGGTTAAGTTTATGTCTTCCTTTTTGTAGCTATTATAAATGGAATTGAATGGGTATCAACAGGCTTCTTCCAGCTTCAACTGGTTTCAGCTGGTTTCAAATCAACTAAGCCAGTTTCAGCCATCCAGAACTGGTTACAGCTGATTACAACAGACTTCAACTGGTTTTGACTAGTTCAAGCTTATTTCAGTTGGTCTAGATGGGGTTCAACCCATTAGATCCTGCTTCAACTAGTTCCAGCTGGTTTACACTGGTCTCAGCTGGTTTGGTCCAGTTTCAGCCAGTTTGATCTTGGATTAGCAGGTTCAATCTGGTTTCAGCTGTTTTGGTTTGGTTTCAGCCAGTTTGGACCACTTGGAGCTGGTTTAGCCCACTTTATTATCAGTTGGTGTTGAGGGAAAATTAAAAGTGGTCCATATTACAATAGCAATGTTTTGATTTAGAACTTTTAGGCTGAATGGGTTTACATTCAACTCTTTCCTTGATTAATCTCTCCTATTGGTACTACCCTGGTTTGTGCACTAGAGTAAGATATGAGACAGACAGGCAGGATCTGGCTTTCTGTATAAGCCTTTAGTGCTCTGTGCATAGTAGGATTTGATAAACATGTGCTATTTATAGTAAGAATGTCAGTTTCTACAGCTCAACAAGATGATTTACTAAGTTTTTGACCTCTAATATTCCAGTGACTATATCCAACTCTTTTTCAATTTCACATCTATACACATGGTTATGACACAAATATCTTTACTAAAATTAGCACGAATCACATTCCAATGTAATTATATTGCTGCATGAACAAATACCACCACTGCATGAGAAACTAGTCATGTACTCATGGTTGGAAAGGAGGAATAAACCTTCCAAAAGTAGCAATCACATGGTTTTGGACCACCGCTTTTTTCATTTCATCTTATGTAACCCTAAACTCCCACTGGAACATCATGTTGTTTCTTTTGGCAACCACCAGGAACTATTTCAACTTTGATTTTGCTGAAATTCATCCTAATCGCTTTGCATTTACTGCACTGACTGAACCATCCATTTCCTGACCTGCCTTATAAAGCAAATAAATGTATTTCCTAACTCCTGCTTTTTCTTTCGTTGGTTCCTCTTCCTAAATTCAGTTGTCATGCTCTTTGGTATGATATCATCTCAAGGAACACATAGTCCAGTGCATAAAATGACATAATTTAAAGGTAAGTCCTGCCTTCGAGAAATCAAATACTGTCTAGATAATTCACATAGTAGTGATTTTTATCTTTCATAGAGAAGTGTAAATTTCACTTAAAATAGTTTATGATTTTTTTTTCAGTTACTAGGTATGAATTTTAGCCCCTCATTTAAATTAAATTGGAATGGAACGGGTTTTGTTTCAAATATCCTCCTGATTGATGAATGTTTCCACAAGTATAAATGTCTGAAGGTCAGGAAAGATCATAGAAACTGGAGATAGTCAATTTCTGGATAGACCTATGAACTTCTATGAATACGGAGTTTATGGGAGGTTATATCTGGCTGATCGTAGAGACTATAATCTTATTGCTAAAAACAAAGAAAGTCTTATGTGAAAGACAATCATGGTCAAGAATTCTTTTCTCAAAACTTGAGGTTTTGTGGATATGACCCCCAAAGTCACATCATCAAAGGGGCGAGAGTCACTTTGTCAGGTGATATAACCACAGGCACAAAAGTGAGGCTGGGGCTTTCATGAAAATTATAGCATTGTTTGGAAACAAAGCATTAACATTTCTAGCAAGGACAAAGATTGGTGAGTATT